GAGAGCTGCACTGGAGCTCCTCTGTGTGAGTGGAAGGACTCTGAGGCCACACCTTCCTGCTACTGTGTATTGTGGCCCTGGGACTTCTGATCACAGGATGCGGTAGGGGAGGTCTGAACCGTGACAGGAAAAGAGTTCTCATGTGCACTTTCACAAGGAGCAAAGCCCAAATGAGTCTATGGAGCTGGCTTAGGCATGCGGAGCAGATAGTAGACAGCAGCGGAGCAGGGTAGCCTGTAATACTTCTCTAACTGGATTAAAAAACCAAACCAGAGCCAGGGAGATAGATAGCTTAGTGGCATAAACACCTGCCTGGTAAGCGCAGTGTCCTGAGTTTGATCCTTGGTACTGCATTAAAAATAACAAAAACAACCCACTGTGCACTGCACCCAGAGAGATTGAATTATAGAGTGATTTCCTCTAAACAACACCCTGATTCAGCGGTGGGCATTGCTGTGGGGGTCTCAGTGAAGGATCCAAGGTCTTCTGCCGTCAGTAGCTGTGAACAATTGGAAGCTGCTTGGGTCAGGATGCTACATCTTGGCCCCTGCTTTTAGCAGTGATCTTTTTTCAGTAGTGCACCATAAGCAGTTCTGTACACTCCGTATCAAAACTGTATTCAACCCCAGATTGTACCGGGCAGTGAGGCTGCAAAATGGACAGAAGGGTTTAATTATCTTGCTTTAATTGCTTTTCTGTGGCTACAAAGTGAAGCTTTAGGACATCTGAGAGCTTTTCCCTCTCTTCATTTGAATTTCTTCTGACAGCTTTCTCTAGGGAAATGGTGGAAGATCTTACTCACAGTGAGGACTGTTTACCTTAGCAGTATTAGGAAGTCTGTGTTGAATGTCCTAAGATTTATCTGTGTGGTCTGGAGAAGGTGTTTAAAATTTGAAACCTACATAGTGTTTTCCACAAAATGAAATCATTCAATTCCTTCATAGTGCTTGATGCTGTGTTGGAGGCTAATGTTTCTAATGATATTTTGTAGAGATCTAAGATAGCTGGTGTTTTGGTTAACTCATTAGCTCTAATTTATATAAACCATATAGTACAAATGTTCAGTTTAACACTTCTTCATATATTATGTTGGCCTCATTGAAAGAAAGAAAATCATAATCATCCACAAAAGAAACTGTGGGAAGGGCTTATTTGCTCTGAACAAAGAAGGTAGGTCCTTCCCTTTGGGCTCTTTAAAGAGCTGCTCACATGAGCATGCCTCCCTGGCGCAGTGCTCCATGCTGATTCCGGTGCTCCACTTGCAGCTGCATATTTCCAGGTCCTGTTATCCCTGCGTGTGTTCAGCACCTGAGGTGTGCCTGGCACGTGTGACTCTGTGGGAAGCATAGAAGATGTCCCGTGTCCAGCCATTTCCCAGCATGCTCTGAAGGCAGCCTTCTCTGTGGGATGTTGTATACGCTATCACAACTTAAGGATATCCAGAAAATACTGTTAGTGAAAAAGTAAATTATAGCTGACTCCTGCACCTGCCTGTCCTGATCCACAATTGGGCTTTCCACTATTGCAGTTAACTGTGGTGAATAAATTCCAGAATAATTCATAGGGTTTAAGTAACTTAAGATAGAAATTGTTATTGTTCTGTTTTATTCATAGTTATTATTACTCTCTTAGTGTGCCCTGTTGATAAGTTAAAAGTGATCATCGGCACAGATGTATTCAAAATCATCTCTGTTAATAGAGTCCCCTACTCCTCTGCTTCAGGCACATTGGAGTCTTGGAAAGTATACTCCGTGGATCAGAGAATGCTTCTGTAGAATGCTTCTTAAAGATGTGCAGCTTCTGCTCAGCATTTTTGCAGAGGAGATCCCTGCTGGTGGAAGCAGTACTCTTTGCCTCAGCAGGGGCAGGCAGAGCATCCTACAGAGCTGGCCCTGTCCACACGCATGAGCACTGCGCCGTCCATCCTCTCGCTTCCTGCAGGGTGTGTTTCATCACTTAGGAAAAATAACTCCTCACTTCTTACTTCACAGCTGTGTCTGTATGGGCCAGTGAGGGGTAGGCCTTCTGCGAATGTACTGAGTTCTGTTGAGTTCCTATCATGGGAAAATCAGAAGTAGGAATATTTTAGTAGTCCAGTGGATTAAAGGAAAGAACCCATCAAGTAGGAAGATCAAATTACCAGTGTATTGCAGCAGCTTCTGCAGGAGAATGTGTGGTCTAAACCGTCTTGTGAAGGGAGTGTGAGTGTGGGGCACTTTGGAAGCCTCTTTCTCCACTAAGCATCTCCCTAGCAGTCCACCGAGGGCGCTGTGGAGGGGGCCTCCCCAGCATTTCTTCACGCTACCGTATAAGCTCTCCTTGGGTTGGCTAGGAGCAGCAATTTCATAGGTTTCCACAGGCTGGCACTCTTCACTCAGTTCACCTTTGGAATTGGCCCTTAAGTGCTTAAGGTACTAGGTACGTACAATTTGAAAACTCTATTTACTGTACCAGAGTTTTAAATCAGGTTTCATAAACTATAGCTTTAACATGAGTAATTATGCAAAACAGTGGCTTTTGTTTATAGCCTGACCAGTGCTTGTCTCCCTTTGAAATGGTTCTTTTAACTTAAAATTGGAGGTGGGATTTTTTTTTTTTTTTTCCTATTTAAAGAAGTCACTAACATGTTTTCACAAGACCTCATTTTTAAATGAAGTAGTTGGGGATAGTGGTGTGCACTTGTATTGCTAGCACCTGGGAAGCTGAGGCAAGAAGAAGAAGGTGGTAAGTTGGAGGCTGGCCTGGGACACCTAGTGAGATATCCCATCTTTAAAAAACAAGGGGAAAGGGGGCTGGTGAGATGGCTCAGTGGTCTAAAGCACCTACTTAGAACAAACTAGGCTAAGCAAAGCACAGGGACCGCGGTTCAATCCCTAGCACCACATGCCAACCAACCCCGCCCCCTGGTGGGCTGAACTGGCCCCACACACACACACAAAATACATAAATAAATAAATAAACAAACAAACAAGGGGAAAGACTAGGAGACTGACTTACAGATATAGGGCTAGCACTTAAATCCCAGCAGCCCTGCAGCCTGTAGTTTTTCCACACTTCCTTTTAATTATCTCATACTCTGTAATCACTTCTTATAAAATCATAATTTTTCCATGAGGCTTTTTTATTAGAAATTTATGATTTGGTCATTTTGACTTGATTTCAGATTACCACTAAAAGTGTGCTTTTTAAATTGACCAGACATATATCTTCTCTTCTTACTTTGTTTTTATGCTATTAAAAATTCTTATTATGTTCCAGAAATTGGCAAATAACTACTTGTTGTAGGTATTAGGCGAAATATGGGATCTCTGCTTACCTTTTGCACCTCTGAAAGAAGGCACAGGCCATGTTTTCCCCTGTTGTGTCCCAGAGCTTAGTCCCTTGTTCTCTGCCAACATATGGCTGAATGAGGTCAGATGAGCTGGCACAAGTATAGGGCCCAGTCTGCGTAGGGACAGAGCAGAATGCATGCATTTCCTTATTCTTCTCTTAGGCTTTTATTCGTTAGTTTCGCAAGTGTTTCTGGAGGGTCACCTTGTACCTTTGACCATGTAGCACTGGACCTACAAGTTTCAGCCACGATTACTTCTTGTGTCAGAGGGCCAGAAAGAGGCAGGTTTGCAGTGAGGGTTTTAGAGGGACAGCTGGGGCCTGGAACGTAGATCCATAAGGCTTTTGCCTGCTGTTTCTGCTGTGTAAGTGCGTGAGGCTCTAGAAGCCCTGGGAGAGTCCTTTGCAGGGAGCCAGGCAATGTTGCCATCCCTGTCTGGGATGAGAAAATGTGGGGTTGAAGGCCCCTATTTTCATGCATAACTATGAAATTGTCAACATTCTATTTCATGCTCATTTTCTTTAAAACCCTCCCATTTTAGGCACTGTAAATGTTTTAAATGAATTATTGCCATTAAAAGCCTTAAATGCATAAGCCTCTGCCTGGCAAGTATAATGTCGTGAGTTCTATTCCTGGTACTGCAAAAAAGCAAAACCTGGAATGCTAAAAGGAAAGACCGTAAGCTAGTATGTGCTAAGGCTGCTTGGGGAGCGGGTGACGAGAGTAGGCATCCTCCTGGCTGGGACTGACCCTTGGCTGGAGCAGGATGATGCGCAGCCCCACTTACCATCCTGTGCTGCAGTTTCTTGGTCTGTGAAGTTGGTGTCAGCAGTTTCTGCCCCGGAAGAGGACATAGAAGAAGAGGTGGGCAGACGGTGAGTGCGTGCTGTGCCCTGACGCCGTGCTGGGCCGCATGCTCACCTGATGTTTGCCCTGTGGGTCTCGGTGCTGCTTCTGTTAACTTAGTGTTGTCTGTGTTAGCTTTCCATTATGGTAACAAACACCTGAAAGAAATAAAATTAATAAAGAAAAAGAGTTATTTTGTGTTTTTGTTTTGTTTGGAACCAGGAATTGAACGGAAGACCTGATGCTTTCCAAACAGGCAGTGGTGCTGCTGAGCAATAGCCCCAGCTCTATTTTGTGTTTTGGGTTTAATTGTGCCTTTTTGAGAAAGGGTCTCACTCACTGATTACCTTGTGCTGGCCTTGACCTTGTGACCCTCCTGGCTCAGCTTCCAGGCATGTGCCACCACACCCAGTTGAGGAACGATCACTTTGTCTTATGGTTTCAGTGGCGCTAGTATATGGTCACTTGGCCATTGCTTTTGTACCTATACTCACCTCCTGGTGGCCCAGAAACCAAAGGAGAGAGGAAAAGACAGGCAGCCAGTGTCCCTCTCGGCTCCCATGACCTCTGGGTAGCACCACACTAAGGGCCAACCCTCTGACACTTAGGACTTTTGAACATTTAAAACCCAAACTACAGCACTCTCATCAGAGGAATTGGAGTTGGGGAAGGTGGCCATGCCTCAGTGATCTGAGAGTCTTTGTGCCCTCACCGATACGTCATCCACCTAGGAGTGTGACTCTAGGTAGGGCTTGTCTTTTATTGATCTGGCTTGGTTCTGTTACTTGGTACTGTTAACTAACTGAAATCATTGTTATCCTAGCTACACGAGAGCAGTTACGATGCTGGCAAAGCCCTGCAGCGCCTGGTAAAGAAGCCCGTGCCCAAGCTGATTGAGAAGTGCTGGACCGAGGACGAAGTGGTGAGCATGGACTGCTGCCTTGTACAGGGCCTTGGAGAGTTCCCTTCTTAGTGTGTGACTTCTGTGCTACTCTAGGAAGGAGCTTATGTGGAAGACAGGCAGGCCCTGCCATATCTCAATCAGAGGGAAAGAGCCTGTAGGCCTACTGATTATACAGAAAGGCTTGGCTTGGTTTTAATAAGATTAGTTTCAGGGGCTGGAGAGGTGGTTCAGTAAGATAAGCGCTTCCCTGGCAAGCACAAGGGCCTGAGTTCAACCCCCAGTTCCCGCCAAAAAAAAAAAAAAAGTAAGATTAGTTTCATAAATGACAGGAAAGATTTCCCCAGGTTTCATGGAGTGGAGTAATTGATAGTTACTTCTAAAAGTGTTGAGTTTATTGGCTTAAGCTAGCTTGTGATGCTGCACTATTTAAAGAGACAAGCACATTGAAGCCAGTTTACCCATAACCTAGTGTAGCTTCGGTGACCTGTTTTTATTTTGAGAGCTTGCAGAACCCATAACATATTGAAGGCCATTGATCAAAAGTGGAACGCATAGACCCGATTAAATAAACATTGTGGAATTTATTTTGCCATTCTGTTGCTGTCGTCCAAAAAAGGATGTGGGGAAAGAGGAAGGTGCCCCCAAGCACAGACTTGCAAGCCCATTGTTTCTGTGCAGCGTGGAGAGCTAATGAAACTACATCCCCATCTTGTGACTTTTAAAAGGTATTGCTGTAAATGGCTTTTAATTTCTTACACATCCCCAGTTGGAGTCTTCAGTACGAATATTAACACTTGGCTTTTGCCCTTCAGGTCACGTGAAATGCACATGAAGGCTGGTGCCAAATATATTGATTACAAGTGCCTCGTTCATGTGTTAAAACATGGCAAGCAGAGTGCTTACAGATGATATGTACTTTCTTGATCTTGCTTGCCTTCTTTTGTGTAGCAGTATTTATTGAGGGCCTGGGACTTGTGTCAGGACGAGCACAAGGTCTCCCTACGTGTCTCCTATTTCAAGAAGGGCCATTGTTCCATCTCAGTACGGTGTTTGCAGGAGGGAGGGAAAGCAGTGTGTGCATGAGGCCGAGGAGTGGCAGTCTGGACACTGTCTTGGGCAAGGACTGATGAGGGCTATGCCTTAGTGAGTGAGTGCGGGGTACCTGCTGGATGTCGGGGCGAGGAGAAGCCCACCTCCCAAGGTGGAGATGTTCTTGGCACATGCAGGAGACAGGGAAGGCAGTGGTAGGGCACTGCAAGGAAGGGGAGGGCAATGTGCACAGCCCTGAGCACGCTTGGCTCTGGGTGAACATAGCCCAGACTCAGACCAGCTGCGCTGAGGTCCAAGGTGGACGCGGAAAGCCTGAAAAATAGAGCTGGGGGAAGCTGTTCGCTGGGAGGGTGGTGGAGATGGACAGAACCAGTCCCTGAGCTCAGCTTTGGTGACAGAAGTGTTGAAGGGTCGCTTGAGACTTTTAACTTTACCAGATGTCAGGTGAAGTGATTGGCACTGCTTTAAATTAGCACATTTACTTATTTAGAGGTATAAGCACTTTTGCATGTGCAGACAATAGCTAAAAACATTAAATTCAGTTTTTTTGAGAAGTTCTATTCAGAAGTCATTTCCTTTTTGTAAACCTATTTGTGTGGAAAAGAGATGGGAGATTTGATTGGTAAGGTTTAAAATTCTTCAGAAGCCTTTGTAAATAAAGAGGGAAAGAGATGAATAGGACAGAACATGTGTCATGTCACGGGCTAACATTGTCCTCTACCCCTGGCCTAGGCTGTCCTGTCAGTCTGTGAGCAGCTCCTCTCCCTTCAATCTTGTCTGGTGCTGTCCCCTTCCCTAACTTTACCTTTCTGTCTACCCTGCTCAGTGTTTCCCCATCTCTTCCCCATCTCCCTGCTGCGCTGCAGCCTCCATCCTCCCTGTCAGCTGTGACTCTGCTCTCCCTCCTTTTCTCATGACCTTTCATTCTCTCTGGAATTTTTAAAATACACAGCAGAGTCCTCTCTTCCTGCTTAAAAGAAAGCTAGTTTTCTTTTCCAGCAGCTTGAGCTTTGTCAGGATGTTGCTTGTGTCCCTGTTGCTTCTGCTCAGGGACCTTCAGTGATGGTGAGGAGGGGGCACCTCAAGCGTTTGAACGAGCTCAAGTTCTACTTTGAGAAACAGAGCAGGACTCCAAAGTGGTATGCATTCCAGGTGTGGAATAATGATCCTTAACTGCTCACATGCATGTTGGTTTGGGCTCATTTTTATGTTGTTTGCTTCTTTTGAGAAATTCTTTGGCAGTTTTCCAGCCCTTGCAGAGCCCCAGGATCAGATGGTTCTCTTTGTAGAAAGTTAAGCTTTGCTTTCTAAAGCCTCGCCAATGACTGAGAGGGAGTGATTGAGTAATTGATAGATTGAAGAAACTTCTGATAACTATGTCCAAACCAAATCTTCAAGTAGACCTACATGGCAGCAAGACAGTTCCACACTACACCAGCCTGCCTCTGCCTGTGGCAAGGCAGCTGCTGTGTTCATTGGCCCCTCTCTTGAGTTCAGCATTTTCTCACCCCAAGAATCACAAAAATAATTAGAAAAAAATGTGTCCAGCTAAAATAAGTGTGTAGCCTGCCTTCTGTTCTTTCTCCTTTATCTTCTGTTCTTGGTGCACTCTAGTTAGTTCTACAACGCTTGTCCTGCAGTACAGTCCTCTAACAAACCAGTGTCTCCTGTGCCTCCTCCGGGCCGAGCTTGGTTTCCTGGTATGTACTTGAGTACTTCACAGCAACGACACTGTGACAGGTGGAAGGGGCACCTGAAGGCAGGAGTTACAGCCATGCTGTGGGCAGGGGGCGCCTTCTGTTCCCTGGAGGAACTGGCTTCTTTCTCTGCAAACCCAGACCTCTCTTGCAGCACTTGTCCCTCTGCTGATCTGTACCTCTGTTTCCATCTTTTTTTTAATGTATTTAATACCGGTCCTTGGACTTGTAGTGATCCTCCTGTTCCAGCCTCCCCAGTGCTGGGGTTACAGGCACACACCACCATACCCTGTCTTGGTGGCTAACTTAGCACTCCCGGGGCAGAGCCAGCACAGCATGTGGGTACCGAGTATCCAACTCGGGTCCTTGTGCTTGCCAGTCAGGCACCTAGACTGCTGAGCTATCTCCCTGGCTCCTCTGTTTCCATCTTTATTGGCAGCTAATCCTCACACATTTCTGCTGACTGTGTGCCATGTTAATGAGCTGTATACTCATCACAATTTATTTATTGTTTATTTATTTATTTTTTTT